GAGGAGGAGGAAGAGGAGGAGGAGGAGGAGGAGGAGGAGGAGGAGGAGGAGGAGGAGGAGGAGGGGGAGGAGGGGGAAGAGAGTCCGTAGCCAGTTTGGTTCAAGAGCCGACAGGAGACAGCACGCTGGCTTTGCCCATCTTGTTTTTGCTACGAGTTTTCTTTCATATTCATACCCACGGGTGACTCTGCTCTCGCCGCTCTCCGCATGATCGGGCGGCGCCGGCACCTCAACATACATAATTCGCCAGAATACAACACAGCTGTTCACGCCCTTCTTGCTCTGTCGGACGCCTCATCACTCATCACGATATTGCAGCCAACGCCACGCAATCTCCGACCTCGAACACAAGGTCGCCCACGTAAGTCTAGGGTATACATCTTCAACGCGACCTCGAAATGCACCACGGGTTGCCACGCCGAGCCCGACTTCAGGAAGTTGTCGAAGATGCGTGTATGTCTGGTCGTTTTTCATCTCACGAGATATCTTACATGCGGAAAACCGTTGCCCAACGTAATGCCACTTCGCACCGTTCCTGGAAAACCGCATTGGCGGACCGCCATAAGTCCTGCTGTGCCGCCGGTGTTTGGGACATTCTTCGAAAGGAGGCGCCTGAGTTCATCCCTGCCAGATTCCCTGGGAGCACGGCCACGCCCACCGCCGCACAGGAACAGCCGCAGAGCAGCCAAACCGAGACGCCCCAACCGCCTAGGCAACCAGCGCCTGGCGTGGCCTGCCCACCCACCGACGTTGTGCGATCCGCGGCGGCAGAGGCGCTGGCTGAGGCACGGGCACACGGCCGATTCGGCAGACGGGGCCGACGTGGGCCAGGCAGCTGGCAGCCAGAGCCAGGCGGCCGAAGCAGGCCGCGATGCTTCGGATGACCAGGCAGAGGCACGACGCGTGGACGGCAGGCCTGGCTCTAGCGCAGCGGTAGCTCCAGAGGCTGCCGCGCGGGCGGCCGCGCCTTCCGACGCAGCCTTGGGCGGTCGCGGTGCCATGGCCGGCCTCGAGACAGAGGAGCAGGCCGCATGCATTCAGGCTTCCAGGCTTCCATCAAAGAGCTCTCCGCCTTCGTCGCCTACGAAGCCGACGCGGCGAGGCTTGATGGCGCCACCCCAGAGGCCTTTCGCGCCGCCTGGGGCCGGCTACCTCCCGAAGGCCAGGCAGCTTGGGTACCGCGTCAGCCACGTCGAAAACTCGCCATGGGCAAGAAGTGGGCGCTCCTGTTGTCCCGCAGCACCGCCGACCAGCATGAAGCCTGGGAGGCCCTCGACATCCTGTTCAGCGTCCGGAGGCCATGGCAAGTCTGCGCCGACGCCCTCGAGGAGCAGCCCGGGACCTCCAGCGAGATCGAGAGCGACAGCGAGGCCGAGCCAGAGGCCCTGCATTCGGGAACGCTGGCGGGCCGGGCGCAGCGCCCTCTGAGGCCCACCCGAGGCGGCACGCTCCCTTTCAGAAAAAGGTGCGTTTTCTGGACAACCTCTGAGGCACTGAAGCACCCCCCACCTCCTTCACTTTCCTCGCCTTTCCTAGCTCACCGCAGCCCCCGAGGCGGCCGCGCCTGTTCGCATGGGCTCTGGGTATAGCATGAGGGGGCGTGTGCGGAGGAAACCTCGCGTCACAATAGCGCTGCCACCGCCACGATGCAGTCCTGCTGGCTCCACAATCTTGATCACCCCTCTCTCCCTCCTTCCTGCTTATTCGCTTATTCATATCCTCTCCCCCTCTATTCCTGCTCCTGACGACCCTCGTCGCCGGCGCGAGCTGTTATCTCGTACAGCGCCACCGTCTCTTGGCAACTGTGGGTTGCGGTGCTGGGCCCGAAGGAAGTGACCGAAAACCACCAGGAGACGGACCCTCAACAGTATGTTTACGTTTTTTTGCAAGCGATGTCGAGGGATTTGCTCGCAGGTTACTGGGATGAACCGCCAAACCCCAGACGCGCTGGCTGGCGCAGCCTGCTATGACCCTCAGCGAATAGAGCTCCACACCGTTCAACGCCTCTCCCTCCGCCCGCAGGCGTGCGCGCCCCGCGGCGACGTCTGCGTGAACTGCGAGCCTGGGTTCTCTCCAGACCTTCCCCTTCTTCCTCGTCCGTCTCCTCTCGCTCTCCCGTCCGACGGGCTGGGCGGGATGGGCTGGGATTCCGATCGGGGAGGAGGGATGCAACATGTTGCTCGCGCAGCCCGTGCGCACCCTCTGCGGGGCTGGCGGCACCGCAGGCGCATGCACTGAATCCTCCGCCTCTTTCGCCTACCACCAGAACGGTCGTGTGCATCGCGAGCTCCTAACACCGCGGAGCGACCAGCGGCGGGCCCGGGAACGCTGGCACCGCCTGAGTTTTTTTTTTGCAGCCTGCTTGCAGGACCCGCCCGCGCACGCACCAGTTTCAGTCCAGCGTGAATCGCGTGCCGACTCACAGCATTTGCTGCGCGACAGAGCGGAAACAATCGATGTTTGCTCTGCCGACGAGGCCCCTCCCGCTTCAGGCGAAGACAACCGCGCCTCCACGCGGAACCCCCGCGTCTTGCGCCTTGGCCTTGTTCGGCACATGCTCCTGCAGCGGTGCGCGCAGGCTTCTCAGCACCGCCAAACCACCGCGCGCAGGGGTCCTAGCAGGGGGTGGGGGGTATGGGGGACTTGGAGGTTCGATCGTGTCGTGTTCGCACGGGGCGGAACGCCCGTGCCCGCCGCTGGCCGCCGCGGCCCCGGGGCCGACCGCCGCGCGCCGACATTGAGCAGGGCGGCGGCAGCGGCGCAAGGCGCACCGTCGTAAGGAAGGGAGGGGCAGTCTGGGGGGAGGTAGGAAGGACCTCTCGCGTTTTCACACTGCTGATTTTTCTTTCGTTTAACCCCCCGCCCACCTCTGGGCCCGCAGCCAGGGACGGGTGGGCAGGACTGGTGGACAGGTTTCGGGCACTGTCGAGTCAACCTGTAGCACACAGCTCAGGGGGAAGAGAGGAAGAGGAGTCCCCTGGCGCTTGTTCCCCCCGCCCCCCCTCGGCAACTCGGTGATGCGGACCGACTCGAGCGATCGCTCCGAAGCCTTCGTCCTCCCCCCCCTTCCTCAGGAACAAATACCCTGGCGACGTACCCATCCCTTGCGCAATGCGGGGCATAAGTACATCAGGATTGCTACAACGGGGGCGATGACGCATCATGGACGCATGTGATTTTGCGAGCAGCGATCGGAAGGCTCGCAGGCCCCCGATCAGGATATGAGGGCTACGTAATAACAAATCCCCCCGTTGGCTGTGCCATGCGCCCGTTGCACCCAACGTATCCCGCAGCAGCTCTTGAGAGCCCCCGCGGGATACGTGCAGGCGCAACGTTCTGGCCATCGCCCGGCATATGGTCTGTTTCACTAATCACCCCCGCCATGCGCCCATTGCGCTTAACGTATCCAACAGCAGCTCTCCAGAGCCCCCCAGGGATGGCGAGGTCTCGCTCGGGTCCCCGCGGTGCTTCAGCCCGTTGGACCCACCAGCAACCCTCGAAAGTGGCGACAGTGTCGCAGATCGCAGCCCCCCCAGGGACGGCGAGGTCTCGCTCAGGTCCCCGCGGTGCCTCGCTCCGCTGGAGCCACCAGCATCTTTCGAAAGTGGCGACAACGTGGCAGATCGCAGCACCCCCCAGGGACGGTGAGGTCTCGCTCAGGTCCCCGCGGTGCTTCACTCCGCTGGAGCCATCAGCAGCCCTCGAAAGTGGCGGCAGTGTGACAGATCGCAGCCCCCTCAAGGGACGGCAGGGTCTCGTTCAGGTCCCCGCGGTGCTTCACTCCGCAGGACCCACCAGCAGCCCTCGAAAGTGACGACAGAGTCGCAGATCGTAGCCCACCAGGGACGGCGAGGTCTCGCTCAGGTCCCGGCGGTGCTTCAGTTCGCTGGACCCACCAGCAGCCTGGCGACAGCGTCGCAGGTCGCAGCCCCCCAGGGACGGCGAGGTCTCGCTCAGGTTCCCGCGGTGCCTCAGTCCGCTGGAGCCATCAGCAGCCCTCGAAAGTGGCGACAGCGTCGCAGATCGCAGCCCCCCCCCAGGGACGGCGAGGTCTCGCTCGGGTCCCCGTGGTGCTTCACTCCGCAGGACCCACCAGCAGCCCTCGAAAGTGGCGACAGTGTCGCAGATCGCAGCCCCCCAGGGACGGCGAGGTCTCACTCAGGTCCCCGCGGTGCCTCACTCCGCTGGACCGAGCAACAGCCCTCGAAATCGGCGACAACGTCGCAGATCGCAGCCACCCAGGGACGGCGATGTCTCGCTCGGGTCCCCGCGGTGCCTCACTCCGCAGGACCCACGAGCAGCCCTCGAATGTGGCGACAGCGTCACTGATCGCAGCCCCTTGGCAAGATGCACGCACAAGAGGTACCGCAGCCAGGATGCACACACACACGAACACGAGAGGTACGCGCAAGGCAAGAGGAGACAAAACGGAAGCGGGAGACGGGAGGCGGGAGGAGGAGGAAGAGGAGGAGGAGGAGGAGGACTGGAGACCGCAGTGCTCTATTCAAAGCGAATACCCAACCAAGGAGGGTTGGGAATAAACTCTTGCCTCCGAGCCGCGCTCGTGTGCGCGCGCGGTGCGCGGCGCTTCGTGGCCAGCGGCGCGGCCGCGCAGCGCGCGCTGCGCCGCGATGGCGGCGCATGCCCCGTCTTGCTCTTGTGCCTCACCACTTTCTGCTCCAGACCTGGGTCTCACTTCTTTCTTGCTCTTGTGTCGCACCGCTCGAAGGGTCAGCTTCCGGAAGGCGTGTGGGAGACACCCCAGGACTTCTGGGGATGCCGGCAAACCGGGGTTCGGGGCCTTCGAGGATCCTGCAATCTCCCCGTCGCGCTCGTTCCACCGAAGGGTCGTTTGGCTAGAGGGGGGGGGTCCATTTCTGAAAGGCGAAGGCAGAGCAAGAGGAGGAGGAGGAGGAGGAGGAGGAGGAGGAGGAGGAAAAGGAGGAGGAGGTCGGCGATTGTCCGCTCCTGGTCCCTCCTAGAGTCCATTCTTGTCGTCACGTTCTGGCACTGCTGCGGTGCGGATTGAGAACGGTGGTGGAGCAGGCGGGCGGTCTGTGCTGGCGTTGCCTTGTCTTGGCTTGAGCTTGCGCGCTCCCCTGTGCCCCAGCTTGCCTCGGCCGCCGCGCGCGGCCCCGACCGTGTACGCTTCGGGCTGGCATAGGCCCCCAGAGCTCGTGCAGGAGAGGTCGAGGACGAGAAGGGCCAGGAGGACGAGGACGACCAGGACACGAGACCAGACTTGCCCTCCAATTGGTCCGCGTAAAAGGGATGTACATTCTACTCGTTCCAACTACAAGACAAGTATGCCCTGCACTGTTAGCTCTTGTCGCTGCCTCCCTGTGTCAGGATTGGGTAATTTGCGCGAGAGGCGCGGGCGCTCCCAGGGAGCAGCTGGCGCTCTCGAGGCCCGAAGACCAGCCGGCGCTGGCGTCGGGCGGCGAGCGGCCAGCCCTCCGAGCACGACCAGACGGCCGCTCGCCGTCGACCCTTCAGCGGGCTCCCGCCGACGGCTCCAGGCTTCTCTGGGCCCCCGCAGCCTCTGCCGCAGAACAGAACGGGGGTCCTGAGGCCGAATCTCGAGATTTTCCCTTTGGGAGTTTGCGGCTGTTCTTCCTCCTCCTCCTCCTCCCTCCCTCCTCCCTCCTCCTCCTCCCCCCTCCTCCTCCTCCTCCTCCCTCCTCCTCCTCCCTCCTCTCCTCCTCCTCCTCCTCCTCCCTCCCTCCCTCTCTCCTCCTCCTCCTTCTCCTCCTCCTCCTCCTCTTCCTCGTCCTCCCTTTCGGCACTGTGTGTGCTTCCGTTTCCACACCCTTGGTGAGGAAGAACACAGCTTTGAAGTGCAACCGGCATTCGCGTTACGAGGGCGGTGGCTGAAGCACGCGGTCCGCTCCCACCTTCGCCTTCCAACCCCCCCCCCGAGGACCCAACCATATGCAGCTGTGAATACCGCAACTTTGAGTATCATCTTCGCCCGCGCTCCCTATGGGGCCACGAACCGAGTTAGGGGCGTGCCGACATGCGTGGCGGGGCACGCACCGCATGGACCTCTCTATGGGGCCACGAAATGCCAATCTGCGCCACTGCGACCTTAGGTGGAGCTCCCTGTGGGGCCACGAAACGTGTGAGGGGTGTGCCAAAATGGGGGGGCGGCGCCATGCAAACTGCGCCACTGGAACCTGAGGTGGAGCTCCCTGCGGGGCCACGAAACGTGTGAAGGAGTGTGCCAAAATGGGGCGGCGGCGCCATGCAAACTGCGCCACTGGGACCTTAGGTGGAGCTCAGCTGGGGTCACGAAGCGTGTGAGGGTTGTGCCAAAATCGGGCGGCGGCGCCATGCGAACTGCGCCACTGTGATCTTAGGTGGAGCTCCCTATGGGGCTATGAAACGTGTGAGGGGTGTGCCAAAATGGGGCGGCGGCGCCATGCGAACTGCGCCACTGGGACCTTACGTGGAGCTCCTTATGGGGCCACGAAACGTGTGAGGGGTGTGCCAAAATGGAGCGGCGGCGCCATGCGAATTGCGCCATTGCGACCTACGGGGCCACGAAACGTGTGAAGGAGTGTGCCAAAATGGGGCGGCGGCGCCATGCGGAGTGCGCCACTGCGACCTCGGGTGGAGTTCCTTATGGAGCCACGAAACGTGTGAGGGGTGTGCCAGAATGGGGCGGCGGCGCCATGCGAATTGCGCCAGTGGGACCTTAGGTGGAGCTCCTTGTGGGGCCACGAAACGTGTGAGGGGTATGCCCAGATGTGGCGGCGGCGCCATGCGAACTGCGCCACTGCGACCTCAGGTCGAGCTCCCTCTGGGGCCACGAAACGTGTGAGGGTGTGCCAAAATGGGGCGGCGGCGCCATGCAAACTGCGCCACTGGGACCTGAGGTGGAGCTCCCTACGGGGTCAAGAAGCGTGTGAGGGGTGTGCCAACATGGGGCGGCCGCGCCATGCGAGCTGCGCCACTGGGATCTTAGATGGAGCTCCCTATGGGGCCACGAAACGTGTGAGGGGTGTGCCCACATGTGGCGGCGGCGCCATGCGAACTGCGCCAGTGCGACCTCGGGTGGGCCTCCTTATGGAGCCACGAAGCGTGCGAAGGGTGTGCCAGAATGGGGCGGCGGCGCCATGCGAATTGCGCCACTGCGGGCTTAAACGGAGCTCCCCATGGGGCCACGAAGCGTGTGAAGGGGTGTGCCAAAATGGGGCAACAGCGCCATGCGAACTGCGCCAGTGGGACCTCAGGTGTTGTTCTCTGTGGGGCCACGAAATGTGTGAGGGGTGTGCCCAAATGAGACTGCGGCGCCATGCGAACTGCGCCATGGGGCCACGAAACGTGCGAGGGGTGTGCCAGCATGGGGCGGCGGCGCCATGCGAACTGCGCCACTGGGACCTTCGGTGGGGCTCCCTATCGGGCCGCGAAGCGCGTGAGGGGTGTACCGAAACAGGGACATTTTGAAGGCAGGGTCAAGGATTGGGAGAAGGGAGGAGGGGGAGGAGGGAGGAGGAGGAGGAGGAGGAGGAGGATGAGGAGGAGGAGGAGGAGAAAGAGGAGAAAGAGGAGAAAGAGGAGGAGGCGGAGGCGGGAGGGAGGGAGGGAGGGACGAGGGGCGCTGTCTCTTCAAAACGAGGACCCAACACCACAGGATGGCCGGGAAAAAGAGGGGGGTCCTGAGGCACACGTGTTCTGAGCTTTGTGGTGCGTCGCCCTCGGTCTCCCAGTGCCCTCCCTGGGCCACTGAGCCGTCGTTTGTGAAACTCGGGGTGGGGAACCTGCCCAGTGGAGAGCCCGAGGGTCCTGGAGCCGCGTCCATCAGGGTCCCATCGCTCGCTCCAACTGCCAGCTCTGCGGCCTCGGACTTTGTCGCCCCCTGCAGCCAAGGCCAGCCATGGCAGCTGCGCTTCCCGCGCTTGGTCTTCGATGCCCTCGCGTGTGCAATCGGCCACGGCAGACCAGCAGAGTGCGGGTGGGGAGTCGGGGGGGCCCCGTCCCGCACTGTGCAGACTTGCGTCGCTCCTCTCCGCTTGTGGCCTCATCGAAGATCTTCTGTTGACGTCGAAGAGCCCCCCTGGGGGGGGGCGATACATGCTGGTGCCGGCGGACATTTGAGCCCATGTTCGCCGTACGGCGGGATGCCATGGTCCCAGTAGTCGTTGTGTGCACGACTTTTCTGGACTTCCGTAGTGGTTCAAATGTCTCCGCTTGTTCGACCGCGCGACGTTCATCGTGTGTTATCATGTCGAGCGGCCGCTTTGGGGATCACCCGTCGCACGGCGACTTCTCCATAGTGCTCCACGTGGCTGCGGGTTTTGTGATGCGAGCTTCACGGGTCACGAGCGGTAGCCATCCGTATCCGCGCCCTCGCCGGCTGGATTTTGGGGCGCGATCCCGCGGATATGCAGCATCAAGGATACGTTCCGCGCGGGGCATCCGCGACAAAGCCGCGCCGCATTCGCGGGGCCGCTGCCCAGGGGACCCGGCCCGCGAGGCCGCGGATACGGATCTGCTATCAGGAAGGATACGCGTAATTACGCATTCGCGAGGTCGCGAGGCCCGCGAGTCAGGAAGTACCCTGGGGGTGTCGCGGCCGCGGTCTCGAGGGGTGGCGCCGAGCTCGGCCAGCTCGGGGGCCTCGCGGGGGGAGGGCGGGGGGGGGGGGGGCACCGCCTCCCGCTCCCCCGCCCCCGCCTCCGGCGGGCGGGGCCGCTGACGAGGCGTCGCCGCCCCCTGGGGCGCACACGCGGCCTGGGCCGCGCTTGCTCGCCTGAGGCCTGGCTGCCGAGCGCGAGCGTGCGCGCAGGGGAGTTCTCGCCCCCCCATCGGAAACTGGAACAAATACACGCTGCCCATGTCTAAGTATTCGACACTTCTTTGATTTTTTGGGGGGCCAAGATCCTTTCATTTCTACTTGTCCTATCCTGGGCCTCTTCCTGGCCACTAGGGGGCCATGAGCATTTAGAAACGAGAACGATTAGAAATGAACACGATTAGGAATGAACGACGTGTGCGTAGCACACCCCGCAGATTCGGATCAGAGTGAGGGGGCGGCTGGGACGTCGGCAGCTTGCGAGACTCTGGAGAAGCCCGCCGCAGGCGCCAGAGTTTGACAAATTATGCAACGAGCCCGCCGCAGGCGCCGATTGTTTCGTTAAGCCAATGTGGGTAGGTCGCGGGTGGGTCGCAAATGGGTCGCGGGTGGGTCGCGGGTAATAATCACCCCGACAAGCGAAGCCGTTCAGTAAACGCACACAAGGAATGAATCAAACAGGGCAGGGCTGTTTAGTAAACGCCCAAAGCCGTTTCTTAAACGTCAATTGTTGGGTCCGGGTGGGTTTTCCTCTCTTGAGGGTGGGTCGCGGGGTGGGTCGCGGGTTGGGTCGCGGGGTGGGTCGCGGGGTGGGTCGCGGGGTGGATCGCGGGGTGGGTCGCGGGGTGGGTCGCGGGTGGGTCGCGGGTGGGTCGCGGGGTGAGTCGCGGGGTGGGTCGCGGGTGGGTCGCGGGTTGGGTCGCGGGTGGGTCGCGGGGTGGGTCGCGGGGTGGGTCGCGGGGTGGGTCGTGGGTTGGGTCGCGGGTGGGTCGCGGGTGGGACGACGACGACAACAACACCAACAACAACAACAACACCAACCACAACAACAACAACAACAACATCAACGCAACAAGCAGAATTCTCACCACGAATTCCTTATTCAGCCGCGCACCCAGGGACAATGAATGACCGTTCGGCCCCTTCACTCTGACATTACCAGTGGCGGGCCGACTTGTCAATCCCAGGACTCTCTGAGGGTCGGGGACGGCGTCGGGGTGGTGTGGTGTATGCTTCCTTCCCCGCTTTCCCGGGGAAGCAGCGAAGCACGTATGCACCAGGGTCCCGTATGCACCAGTATCCGCCTTCCCGTGCAAATTTCAGCGCAGGGCCGAAGAAGCGTCGGTGTATAGAGCTCGGCCCCCTACCCCAGCCCCGACTCTTCCACGTCAAAGCAGGCCGCTCAGAAAAAGGAGGGGAGCTCGGGGGTGCACCCCAGGGGGGCCTACTATCCGACGCAGTCCCGACGAGGATGGACGCCCCCCCCGTCCTACAAATCCTTGAGGCCTGCCTCAAATCATTGCTGGTCCCTTCGACAGCCCCACGATGCCTGGTGATGGGGGTCGATATGTCCCCTGTTGTGTGCACGCGTCCTCGGCTGGGTTTGCAGGGCGTCCTCTCGCGACAAGGTTCCATCACTTGGCGTCGACACAGCGGCGCGCGGGAGCCACAGAGGATGATCTCGTGCTCGTCGGCCTCCTCAACATCATACTCCTTCTCCTCCTCCTCCTCGTCCTCCTCGCTGTCCCCCAGGATCTCGAATTCGAGCAAATGCAATAAGCATCAGTTGTTGGCGCTCCGCGCAGATTCCCCCCCGGCGGCGCCTCTGGCGCCGCCCTTGGCGCGCTCCGCGCGCCAGGGAGGGGGACCCAGCGCAGATCCAAGAAACCCCGGGCGTACCGCCAAAAGTTCATGTTTATGGTGTTGCTTATCCTTTTCTATCGCTGTCCTCCCAGATCATCCCAGATCCTTGCTTTGCTGGCGCAGACCTTTCCTTCAGCGCCCACAAGCGGAGCCGATCCCACCTCCGTCTTGATCCTCTCTCTCTCTTCCTCACCATGTCGCCAGGCCGGAGAGAAGAACCCTTC